TACCGGGTCACCACCTGACTCCTAAAGTTCTACCGAAGTACCGCCCTACTACTACTACTACTACAGTCTTTTATACCCCTGTCTCCTGCCGACTACGATCCTTCCGACCTCCGTCGCCTACTATGGTCCTTCTGACCTACATCATTAGACAACGGACTTTCTAAGTACAGTCTCCTACCAACTACGGTCAATCTGGCATTTGTCACCTACTATGATCTTTTCGATCTCGATTGTCAGACAACAGTCTTTCTAACCCCAGTCTCCTACATACTATGATCTTCCTAACCTGTATCCTATCGACTATTGTCCTGCCGACCAAAGAAACATGTCTATGTTGATTATTGTAACTCCCACCATGTAATGCGCTCTATATGATGTATATTTATGACATCAAACCAAGGCCTTCTCTCGAGGAAGGGCCTCATTTGTAATCGTCTACAAATACTAGTGGATTCATTCAAATTTGGCCATGCACAGTGATTTTTTTCCTCTTTTTAGGGGTTTCCATGTAAAAACTTTGATGTCTCTTATGAATGCTACGCTATCTCTTTTATCTACTGGTGTGCTGGATCTTCGTACAATGCTAAAATATTAGACTATATATTTCTCTATCGTCGCGAATACTCCAGAATACAATAATATGTAAAACCAAATTACACCTAAATTATCTTCAAAAATTCATTCCATTTAAAAGTAAAAAAGAATGGTATCTCAAATATAATAATTTTTATCAAAATACCTAAATGAATTCTGAACTACAAAATAATATGTACCATGCAAACTCATAATTTTTTACTTTCATCAAAACCAGCCTATACAACGAGGATTTTACCTTGACTAAAATATCTTAAATGACTAAAAGTGTATCAAACTTTCCTTTTTTATTTTATAATCATGACAAGCAAAACCATATGTTGATATGAATGTAGAAATGAATATAAATCAATGCCCACTTATAACTTGCATTTATCATCTCTCACCTGCTCTAGGCAGGTGCAGAGCATAGTCATAATAGAGAAGAGTACTTTCATTATAGTGTCAATCTAGAGGTCATAATAGAACATAATAGAATGAAATTTGCATTTTGCCCGAGCACAAAATTCATAGTGCATTTTCCTTTTCATAACAAAGCTCCATATTACTATGAAATTTATAATGATGCAAATATAGTGTATGTCACAATCTAACTCGATATGTCCCACAGACATACATGTCATACCATGCTAAATTGGGATAGACAAAACCCAATATATATGTTTCAGAGAAACTTTTTAGATTTCTTTCAATTAAAACTTTAAATAGATAGCAGAGCTTTTAATCAACTTCTTAAGCAGAATAAATTAGGCGTAGTTTGAGATAGATTTCTTACTGCTTTTTAAAGTAACTTTTTAGTAAAAAAATTTATTTCAAAAAATTTTTGTATTAATAAATTACTTTAGAAAGCAGTACGAAAGTTGTCCCAAATGAAGCATTAAACTCATCCACAAATTATTTTCATTTCATCAAAGATATATGTACAACATTTATACTTTAGTATATAGCTACATACCCCAAAAAAAACCTGATAAAACAGGCATAGTCTTGACTAAACAAAAATAAAAAGTACATATACAAATCTAGACAAATTATATTCTGAACGCTCATCAGCTACTCAAGTTGTTCTTCCCATTTCCTTTAATTTGAAATGGAAGACAAAATAAGTGTGAGCCAATACAGCTCAGTAGCTCGCACCTACCGATCTAAATTTTTAAATAATTTACTTATTTTGTATTTTACTGAAAGTAAAAAAAGTTCATATGAAATAAATTATACCAAGCATTATATTAATTACATATATCTAAAAAAAGTAGATTGCGCATTTAAAGTGAGTAAACAAATACTTCTTATATTATAGGAGAAAACAACATATTTTTTCAAACACTTGCACCTTCCATCAGAATCAAATATCAAAATTCAATCTCTTATGACTCCCAGTACTGACAAATAAAAAAATAGGTCCTTATGACCTGTAAGAATTATCTATTTATTTATTATTTATCTAATTAGAGCTTCTATGAATTCATTAATATAAATCAATTCAACATAAATAACTAAAAATAATATACATCAAAATAGAAAATTATATTCATCCCTCAAATTTCATGTACATAAGCTAAAATATCAATAATTACATTCATTTCAATTTTCTAAGTTCCTAGCTATAAACTAGTAAAACTAGAGAAAATATATAAAACCACAAAGTGAGCTAACAACTCCGTAAGTATCAGAACCTACAATTAAAATCAATGTAAGTCAATATATGAACAATATGCATGTAATTATTCAATCATTATCAATTTGAGAATTTGAATTTTAATAGGACACAATGAAGAAAAAGAATTCATGTAGTCGACCCCACGTAGTGGGACAAAGACTTGTTGTTGTTGTTGTATCAATATGAATATATACTTATAAAAGCATATATAAATAAATAAAATAATAACATGTCATATGATCGATAAAAATCAGTACAACTATATATCTTTAGAGTAGTAATCATTAACTAAGTGAATAGTGATCAATAAGTTCTATCAATAATATACTAAGCAGTTACAAAATAGTTTATATAGTGTTTTATTTTATATATATATATATATATCATTATTAAATGCATGTCATATAGTGTCTATGTTATGCATGTATATCTTGTAAATCATATGCATTTTTCTTATTTTTCTTGGCTCTCACCAATAAGTAGAGGGTCAAAACTTAGGTTGGCTAGGTTTGTATTGCTTATGTTGGATTATACATGTTCTGGGTAGGTTCTATTTCCCTGTTGCTCTTAGCATCAATTTGCCCGACCATACTACATTGCCTTTTTTAATTTTGAATTTTCTCTTACGCTCCCTTTATTGGTGTTTGTGTTGAAAAGTTAATTTTTTAAGAAAATTTAATTTAAAAAAATTAATTTTGAAATCAAACCCATCATTATGAATGATATATCACCCCAAAAAGCAAAGATATAATTCTTAACGGGTTCAAATAACGAAATTGAAAGTTTCATCCTGATTGTAATAATCAAATTCGAGGAAGAACTATATATAACCTTGAAGGGTTAAGATGATATTTTGTCAGTATTCAACTACTGTAATCTGGATGAGAGATCATGAATTTCATATTCAGATTTATGATAACATAGGATATATCTTCCCAAGAGAAGAAAATATCATTTATTATCACTTGTCTGAATATGACGATGATGATCATCGTTGATTTTGCTTTTCCAAAAGAAAATTAAATGAGTTTTGAAAATTGATTTTGAACGATAGATGTGTGTTCTAAATCTCTTAGGAGCGCAAGCCCTCGTAGTTAATTATATAATAAGGAGGTTGAATTTACTACGAATACTCTCGATTAGAATAACGAAATAAAATTTATTTTGAGATTTTTTAAAGAGTGATATTAAAGGAACTGAGGTTGAAAATCCAAAAGGGATTGGATCAAAATTTGAACACTTATTTTTGGAAGTCAATGAAAGAGAAGTAGGAGGCATTTGAGATTATGAAATAATTCAGAAATATCACAATCTATCGTATGTGTTGAGTTATAAATTTTGGATCGAAAAGAATTTGATTTAAGTTATCAATTTATTAGATTGTTGGATTATATACCTGGAAGTTGGGGACTTGAGATTTTGAGTCTGCCTCGGATCCTAAGTCTAATTTGGGCATTAAACAATAGTAGCTTGAACCTAGCTAATACAGTGCAAAACATATACTTACCCCAACTTAGATTCGGGAGCCAACTATCCACCTAGGCAATTTAAAATACATTAATTCGTTCTTTAATGAAAGAGTGGCGGGCTGTTAATTAAGTTTTGAGGAGCTGGGGCCAACATCTAAAAATGATCTTAAGTGTTTGACTTATGTAAGGTGAGTAAGCTTGAGAAAAATACAATTAAATTTTAGACACTTTTAATTAATTTTTAAAGTAATTCATGCTAATTGACTCGATGAAATACATAAAATGTATGAAGCAGTTTTAAAAAGGCTTAATTTTTTTTCCCTAAAGATTACACGGCATCGCCTTGATAGATATGAATCTTAATAGGTCAGGTGGTCTACTAGAATCCAAAGACGGGGAGGTGCCTAAGAAGGAGAAGAATCATGTAATATGCATAAAGCAGAACTCCATGTGGTCCTTGCTAAAGTGATATTTCACTATTAATAATTCTTATCATTAACACGTTAGTTCGATAAGCAGAGTAGTCACTATTTACTCGTCGACACAGTAATAACTCCTTATAACTCCCATGAGTGAATCAGTAGAGAATAACACTAAACTACAACATTTAAAGTATAGCCGTCGGCTCACCATTTTATACAGGCTAGTCTGTATCCAACCAATATCAGTGGATAAATAGCTTTTCTTATTTTCACACATTATTATTATCTTAGTTTTATAACAATAATAGCAATTAGTTATTATCCACTCATATACGATAATATAAAGCATAAGGGATATAGATAGGGGAACACAAATGGATATTTAATGAGAAGAAACATAAAATAATATTAAGAAATCCAAAATCTTTTTCATTTATTTTACTTGAACGAAAAGTAATTACACATTCGTTATTTTTAAAAAATTTTGTTAATTATGATAAGATAATAAAATCAAATGTTAAGATTCTATTTGAATAATTACAATGAAAAGATAAAATTTTATTTGAAAAAAATTCAAATGAACTTCATAATAAGATAATAAAATAAAAAATTAAAATTCTGTTTGAATAATTAAAATAAAAAATAATAATTTTATTTCAGAAAGAATTCAAATCGTTTTTATAATAATAGAATAGAATATAGATACATGTCCTCTCCAAAGATAAAAAAAAAGTCCCTCCATAGATAATAAAATCATTTTTTTTCTATTTATCGTTCGCCGTCACTGCGCAGGAAGAAAATATCTTCATTTTTCTGGCGTTTGCTCGTCACCCTTTACCTCCTCCCTCCTCTCTCTCTCTCTCTCTCTCTCTCTCTCTCTCTCTCTCTGATACACCCCTACTCAGGGATTATTACCGATCTGTTAACTGGATTCTCATTAGATTGTGATCAGCCATGGAGACACAGTCTGCGGCAGAGTACCCGCATGAGGCCATGGAGAAACGGCCTAGGAAGAGACCGAGGTTGACTTGGGATATGCCTCCTCTTCTACCTCCCATGGTCGAATCCTCTCTCTCTCTCTCTCTCTCTCTCTCTCTGATTTGGCTCGAATTTCTGGTTTGTTTTTTAATTTGTTCCCTTATTTTGTTCCCCTTGTCCTTTTTTTGGCTGCCCGGATCTCGGATTTGCTTATTTTCGTAGTCAGGCTCATTGGAAGTTCGTAGTTTCTCGAAAAGTTATGCTGGATCATAAAATCCCCAATTTGTTATCGGCTCTGGCGCTGTATTTCTTTGTTTAGGTCTTTTATGAAATTTCCTCGGTTTTGCCCTAGATCTCGATTTTAACTTTTCATTTGGACAAAGTTATAGCTTTTCATGAAAAAGAAACGTGCAGCTATCTGACCATTCCTATTTTATTCTCTATTACTCTGAATATCTCTTGATATACTTCTAGATAACGTGTATATTGGGAAATTTGAAATGAGCATATTTCTTTGAACATGTTAATGAAGTATTTTTGGCTATTTTTAATGTTTTTTTTATTTAGTCTGGCTGGTTTTCGATGTTGATTTTTGCAATATATTGTCATGTCGGACAAATTTTTAAAATCTGTTCTTTGTTAGATTTGTTCAAAATGTCCTATTCATTTGCTGTGAATTGGGCGCAAAGAAAAAGCTAGAACCGTTATTTATTTTGTTTTCTTTCTTTACTGGTATTTGCGCTTCATCAAATTTGCACCAGATTGTTTTTCAATTCATTTCTTTTTCAAACTTTATCAAAGTAAAAATCAAAATAAATAAATAATCATGTCTTAGGCACTTGTTGGAGTGTAAATTGCATGAAGTATCTCTGTAAATTTCCTTTAACCAGTCATACAGTTTCTATAAAAAATGGTGAAGTCAATGAACTCTAAGTAGTTTCTGTGTATGCAGGCACAGTCTTCTCTGTACTGTGGACAGGAATATGTGAATGGCTATGGTCTAAACTATGCATTATCATCCTACTACTACAGCGAATTACCTCGTCATGTATCTCCTCCCTGGAGAGCTGATGATAAGGATGGTCATTACGTGTTTGGAGTTGGCGAGAATCTAACACCGAGATGTAATATCTTGTCCCATCTTCATCTTTCTTAGACCTTATTTTCTGAACCAATGCTATTTCATTATGATGTCATTTTAATTTAAAGTTTGGCCATGGGGATAAATGAAACAGAGTTGTACTTGTATATTGGACTTTCAAAGTTTTGAGCTATGTTGCACTGATACGGATACGGGACACGTCAATTCTTAAAAATGTAGGATACAGGTACGACGCGACACGACATTATAATTTATAAAGCATACATAAAAATTAAGAAAACAATCAAAACGTAATATTTGAAATGACAAAAAAAAAATGAAAGCAACATCATTAGAAGTTCAGAAGTTAGGGCTTGAAATTATAATGAAAAATTTTAGAGAACAAAACCTAATTTTGCTCAAGTAAATTAGCAAAAAATCATAAAAAAAAAAATTAAAAAATTATATATATATATATATATATATATATATATATATTTGACATGCTCTACGTATCAAACAAAAAAAGAGGATAGAAAAAACCAATGTTAAAATTGACAGCTCTACTTCCATGTGCAATAAGTGATAACTTCGTGCACAAATTGGTAAAATTTTAAACTATGCTATGAGAATAAAGATGGTTAGAGATATAAAAACTATCAAAGCCATTTGTTGTTTAAAACACAATAGATTTGAACCTTCGTGTGGCCTCGTCTCGCGTAATTGACGATGGAAACGAAGCTTGCGGTCGTCTGGCCTTGTCTCACGTAAACGAATGCTCGTCTCGCGTCTCCTTGTCTCGCATACACCCTCATCTCGCGTATTGCCTCTCCTCATCTTGCATACACCCTCGTCTCGCCTGCTCTGTGTCGGTCGGCTCTCCTCTCCTATCCTTCGACGAAATGAAGAAGAAGAAGAAGAAACCTAGATGCACGCTTGCGATCGTAGAAAGGAAGAATCCCTAACGCCTCGTCTCGCGGGTTCGGAAATGAGAAACACTCACAGCAGCGAAGTAAATTCGAGTATCATTTTTTTTTTTGAATTTTTTTCGCTTTTCAACGGGACACGCATATCCTTTTGAAATTAAATAGTATTTTAATTGGATACGTCTTTGCCGTATTCGCCACTTATTGGTGCCGTATCAGATGCGTATCCATGTCCGCATGTATCTATGTTCTTTGTCTTGTGCGACAAACTAACTATCAGCAATTTAGCTTCACTACTGTGATTATTCTCCTTCTGTTCTAATTTTCTGCCTTTTTGCTTCTTATCGTTTTATTTTTCTTGCTTCACTACTGTCTTCTGCTGTGATTATTCTCCTCCTGTTCTAATTTTCTGCCTTTTTGCCTCTTATCGTTTTATTTTTCTTGACCTTCTATGAATTATTAGACTGATTTCTTTCATTTAATTTCATTGCCAGATAGAATACTCAGCAAAATGGGAGAAGGTCAGTTCTCTATGAACCTGTTTAAATTTCTTTTGTGTGGTCAACATTTCTTTGCCTTGCTATTTAAAATTAGTTGCATGCTTGCATGATTAAACCATGAAGACAAATTCTTTTCTGTTATTTCTATTATTTGACTCAAACTGGAATGATAATTTAAAGCTTATAGGAGGGAAATGTTTGATTTGTTTGAGAAGTTCATTTTTTATTTTCTTTTTATTTCATACCTTGGCATATCTGTTATCCTCTTTTTCTTCCTTGTGCTGTACTTTTTCAGGTACCTTTGGACGAGTACTAGAATGTTGGGACTTGGAAAGGATGGAACCCGTGGCAATTAAAATTGTACGTTCAATTTCGAAATACCGTGAGGCTGCCATGATAGAGATTGATGTTCTTCAGAGGCTTGCAAAACATGATCTTGGTGGCTCTCGGTAGGGTTCTTTGTCTACTCTACGTGCACGCAGCCTTGTATTTAAGAATATTAAGATGAATTTGTATTTTGGGTTATTTTCTGCAGTTGTGTAAGAATACAGGATTGGTTTGATTATCGTAATCATATATGTATTGTAAGTAAATATGTACTAATTTATATATCAAATTCTTGGCTTGACTGTTCAGATTTATAACATAAATGTGCTTTTTATTTGATTTTGCAGGTTTTTGAGAAGCTTGGTCCAAGCTTATATGATTTTCTTCGGAAAAATAGTTATCGTTCATTCCAGATTGACCTAGTTCGGGAGCTTGGCAGACAGCTTTTGGATTCTGTGGCATGTGGGTGGATAGGAATTATCCTTTAGTATATTCTTCATTTCTTAAGGCATTTTGTTAAAGATCTAGTCCTTCTCATGATCTTCTTGAGTAGATAATGTAATTTGTACTTTTCTTATTTAGTTATGCATGACATGCGGCTTATTCACACTGATCTAAAGCCTGAGAACATCCTTCTTGTTTCATCCGAGTACATTAGGGTGCCTGATTATAAGGTAACATCTTGTAAGTAGGGTATATTGTCTTTATTATTTGTTTGTGAAATTTGAAATTTTCTATAATGATAATAAAGTATTGAAATACATCCATTAAATGCAATTACTCTGATTTTTTAGTTCTTAATTTTTTTTTTACTTTTTCCTTGTTGTAGATTCAAACATCGTCGAGATACTCTAAGGATGGTGCATATTTCAAGAACATACCAAAATCTAGTGCCATTAAGCTCATTGACTTTGGGAGTACATCATTTGAACATCAAGATCATAATTATGTGGTGTCAACACGTCACTACCGTGCACCTGAAGTTATTCTAGGCGAGTTAGATCTTTTACGCGGTTCATTTTATCTGATCTACCATGATGTCCAATTTTCTTATTATTTTTTCTCTTTCTCCTAAAGGACTGGGTTGGAACTCTCCTTGTGATTTATGGAGTGTTGGCTGTATCTTGGTTGAGCTTTGCTCGGTAAATTTACCACTGCTGCTATTGCTCTTTGATTGCTCGTCATGAATACTTATCTTCTTGTTTGACTTTTGCACAATATTTTGATTGTTTATCGTTGCAATGTCCTTTGAGCTACTAATAAATGTTGTTTTGTAATTAGCTTTTAAATGAAGTTTGAAAAAAAAAAAATTATCATGGCATTTCTCTGATTAATATGGATGCCTTTTGTAAAGTTCTCAGTGGTGGAAATTTTGTTAGTTGGTAGACACTCTTGCACATCCTTCCAGAAGAAAAGTTTTGAATTATATTTTTTGATAATCTGTATATATATGGGCTCAAACTTTGGAAATCAAAGTGTTCAATTTTGATCGTGTAAAATTTAGATGAGTTATATTTTGGATGATATATTGAAAGGCTCTGCCAGGAAACCTGATTTTCATTTATGATTATGCTATAGTTTTTAATGTATGCTTATTCTATCAAAGATTGATGACTAATAGTTTGTCTATAGTCACTAGTTGAGTGTGAAACAAATGAGAATGTTGAATTAGATTATGGAATATTTAAGAAGGATAGATTGCAAAGTGATTATATAGGAGGGATGTTAGGAGTAGCATCTATTGAACAGAAGTAATGTGAAAAAAGGCTTCGGCGGTTTGGACTTGTAAATCAAAATGTAGAAAATGAACTAATAAGATGGGTAGATAAAATTAACGTTGAAGGATTATGATGGCTAAGTGATAAATTATTTGTTGCATTGTTAGAAGTTATGTAAAAGGTTTGGTTGAGGAGGTTTGACACCTCATGCCCTCATGCAACAATCTACAGGATTTAGCTGATAATGGGGGGGGGGGGGGGGGGGGGGGGGGGGGACTGGTTGGGTTAAGGTTGATGACAGTGAGGACATAACTAGGGGGACCTTGGCATGCCATTGTTGCATATGCCGTGACAGCAATTAAGATCCATTTTATTTTATTTATTTGGCGAACTAGAGCAGAATGCTCTAAGAACAAGGTTTTTTGATATTTCACTGTTGTCTTATTTTATTCCCTTTTTTAGGAGTAACCTACTGGAGTGCATTATAGTAGATCACTATAAATGATTTTCTTTTCTCTTCCATAATCTCTTGAGATAATTGATTTAATGCTTGAACTTTTGATAATGATTTTCCTATCTGAACTTCAAAATTAGCTGCCAGTTTTGTGGAAAATCTTGTTTCAATTTTTCAAAAGATTAGTTAGTTGAATGGTGGTTATCTTTTCTAAGATTTCACTGCTCTTTAAGGTTTTCCTTTAGTAAAAGGTAATTTCTACAATCCGAAGTCATTGTTTATCTTTTCTAATATTTCACTGCTCTTTAAGGTTTTCCCTTAGTAAAAGGTAATTTCTAAAATCCCAAGTCATTGTTTATCTTTTCTAATATTTCTCTGTATTCTTCCCACTCAAGCAATATTTGGCATGGAAGTTCTGTTAGCAACAATTTCTCTTGCGACGTTGTATAAAGAAATTGAATGCATATGGAGATCTGTTATTCTCTGTTTTTACTTTGTTTCATCTCATATGGATATCCTCTTTTCTTTCAGCAGTCAAGTGTTGCGGTTACTTGCTCAAGTCTTCAATGTTAAATATTGCATCTAAAGTTTGGCTTACTATGATGAACTTCCAAAGTTGAATTTAGAGTCCAGACCTTTTTTGTTTGTTCGATTTTCACCTGAAATATTCCTTTCTAATGTTTCCCTTATTGTCAAGACTACTACAACAACATCAAGCCTTTTTCCCACTATATGGAGTTAGCTACATGAATCTTTTTTCTCTATTGCGTCCTGTTATGAGTCAAATTCTCATTTAAATTAATAAAAAAGGTAATTTATAATATTTTCTAACCAATTCATGTTAGGTCTATCTCTACCTCTCTTAACATAATTCAAATCTAATACATCTATTCTCCTAATTGGGTAATCAGAAGGCCGAAATTTTATGTGACCAAACCATCTAAGGTGACTCTCTCTAGTCTTATCTGTCATTGGAGCTATTCCAACCTTTTTCACGTATATGCTCGTTTCACATTGTCTCTCTGAGTAAAGCCACTCATCCACCTAAGCATCTTCATTATGCTACACTTAATTGTATGCCTCTCTTTTAATGGCCAACATTCTGTGCCATAAAGTATTGCAGGTGTCACCACCATCTTATAGAATTTTCCATGAGCATCAAGACTTCGAAACATTTTTTTATTGATTATAAATTCCTATGCAAATTTTCACTTCATGAAATCTGTAAAATATATCTCATTCATATTGTTTAAAAAGATTTTTGTTGCTTGCTTTTGCCTTTGCTTGGAGTTTGGAAATGTACCTCTAGATAGATGTGGAAGGAGGGATCTGATAGGAAACACTTGAAGATTTCAAGTAAATCCTATCAATTTCAAAAAATCAACGAGATACTCTTCCAAACTTAAAAAGAAAACTAGAAAAACAATAATTTTATTGCAATAAACAAATAGATCTGAAGAAAACAACAAGATACAAGTCATCCTATATTCGAGAGGAGGATCGATCTCTCCCAATCTCTAGACTAATCTAGAGCCCAAAACCGAAACCTAAGAGATCCCAAAATCCACCATATTCAAGATGCCCTAATCCTAGAAAAAAAAAATATTTAATGCATATAAATCAAAAGGAAATCCCTAAACAGTCCCTACATTCAAATTCCCTCCTAAACTTTCTCAAAAATCCTTCCTAAATCAGCCCGGTGGAGGTTTGCGGTTTGCTCGGTCTCTGCGTGAGAGGTGGAACCTCCACCTCTATTTGCCTGGGCTGGTCCGGCCGGACCGGTCTAACAGGATCCATTTCTAGTTTGATTTTAAATATAAGCTCGACACTGTTTTTTTATTTGATTATATATAGGAGACTTTATGTTTATAGAAAGGTAGGGAGAACCCATTGTCGGCTTGCTTTGAAATTGGAGCTTTGTGGTTTATTCTTCATTTCCTTTTGTCTAATAATATTTATTAATAAAATTAGGTATCTCTCTTTTTTTATCATGCTAGGCGGTAGGCGGAATTGAAGAGCTTAGTAAGAAGGTTTATTGTGAGTTGATAAAGAGAATACTTTAAGTTCATTTTGCAATGCCTTGGGTTGCTTATATCTTGATAAAATTTTATAGTTTTGGCTTAAATTTCTTCATAGGGGAAAAGTTTGAGACATGTTCAGGATGTGCAAGAGTTATGGGAGTTCATAAAGTTGAATTAGTTGGACTGGTTGCAAATAAATTAGTTGCAGGATGGGCCATTTACAGTAGTGTGACTAGTCTGATGCCTCCAAACTCTAGTGAGCTAGACTCTTTCACACTTAATATGAGTAAATCACTTATGATATGGGCCAAGCCCAATAACCATATTCTAAATGTTCTTTAAATAGTTTTAAGTCTAGGGGTGGCTCTCACTCAAGTGAAACTTTCTTGGTTAACCCATAATTTGTACCATTTTGATTGACCTAAAAGTTCCCTTGGCGAGTGGCTACAACCTTCATTTGAACCCAACCTAAAGTTAGGGAACTTGATCATAACCATTTTGATGTCAACATGATACCCTTGTGCGCGATTAAAGCCAAATTAATTTGATAAGCATCAAAGACTATGAATTCAACTCGACAATGCAAAACATAAATAATTGTTTAAGCCTAACTCGAATCAAGTCTCAAGTGAAAGCTCGCATATTTTGAAGGCAATCTAAATGGCCCATTTGGTTGAAGGGCAACCCTATTCATGATGTGTGGCCTACAAAATGGTTTTGGTGAACTTGGTTGAATTTAACTAAGTGTGAATATGTTGACCAACTCAGTTGCATGAATCTATTAATTTGAATTAAGTCAAATTTTTCCCTAGATCAATCCATTTCAAAGACTAAGCATGAATAGGAACAAAATTTGCCTAGGGCTATTATAAATTAACATATGACTTGAATATGATTTTAGGTTGTGCTTAAATTGAGCAACTTATTTTATCTGTAAATCCGAATAAGCATGCTGATTTAGTTCCACACTTAAAATTTCATTATTCATCAATTGAGGCCCACAAAGAGATGGGAGTAGTAAGGATTTAGTTTAAGTGTAGTATATTAAGGATGAAGATCAAAACATGCTTTTATTAGAAAAAAATATTCAACAAAGTTGGATGAGATATTTTGCAAAACCTTTTAATGAAGATTATGAGAATGGAATTGACTTTAGTAACCTTAGGACCTTAAATGAAAATAATTTTTTTTGTTTTTATTGGCATATAAGTAAAATCAAAGTTAAAGAGGTTTTAAAGAAAATGAAGTGTGAAAAAGCTGTTGAACCTGATGATATTCCAATAGAGGTGTGGAAATGCTTAGGAGATTGAGGAATTTCTTGGCTTACTAAACCTATTAATATTATTTTTAAGACTAAAAAGATGCCAGATGAGTGGAGAATGAGTGTGATGATTCATATTTTTAATAATAAAGGTGATGCACAAGATTGTGCGTATTATAGAAGAATTAAGTTAATATGTCATACTTTAAAAATATGGGAGAGAGTTATGGAGCATAGGTTGCGGCGTGAAACTAATGTTTCTCAAAAACAATTTGGATTCATGCTAGGTAGGTCTACTATGGAAGCTATACATTTATTGAGAGGTTTGATGGTTAAGTATAGAGAGAATGAGGATCTACATATGATTTTTATTGATTTAGAGCAAGCATATGATAAAGTTCCAAGATAAGTGCTATGGAGAGTTCTACATAAGAAAGGATTAATAATGCTTATATTCATTAAGGATATGTATGCAAGAGTTGTTACTTGTGTTCAAACACAAGGTGGTTTGACCAAGTCTTTTTCTATTTCAGTTGGATCAGCCTTAAGCCCATATCATTTTGCTTTAGTTATGGGTGTTCTCACTAGACATTTGCAAGAGGTTGTACCCCGGTGTATGCTTTTTGTTGATGGTATTCTTCTTGTTAATAAGACTTGAGAGGGAGTTGATGATAAACTTGAATTATGGAGGTCAACCTTAAGAGTCTAAAGACTTTCATTTGAGTAGATCTAAAACTAAATATATGGAGTGTAATTTTAGTAATAATAGATCAAGTGGGGGGATTGTGACTTTGGGCGATTAAGTCATTAATAAGAGCACACATTCTAGATATCTTGGTTCTATTGTTTAGAGTGATGGTGAAATAGATAGTGATATTATTAGTAGAATTCAAGTTGGATGGTTGAAGTGGAGGAATGCATCAGGCTTGTTATGTGATAGAAAAGTCCATCTCAAACTTAAGTGAAAATTCTATAAGATTGTTGTGAGACCTGCAATGCTTTATGGTATAGAATGTTGGACATTAAAAGAGAAGCATAATATTAAGTTAAGTGTTGTGGAGATGAGGATGCTCAGGTGGATGAGTGGCTTTACTCTTAAAGGCGGGATACGAAATGAGTGTATACGTGAAAAGGTTGGAGTAACTCCAATGGAAGATAAGATTAGAAAGAGCCGCTTAGATGGTTTGTTCACATAAAACAACGGCCTTCTGATGACCCGGTTAGGAAAGTAGATGTATTAGATTTGACTTATGTTAAGAATGATAGAAGTAAACCTAAAAAGATTTGGTTAGAAAATATTAGAAATGACCTTTCTTTATTAGATTTAGATGTGAATTTGAACTTTAGCATGACACAATGAAGAAAAATGATTCATGTAGCTGACCCCGCATAGTGGGATAAAGGCTTCTTCTTCTTCTCATCAATTGAGGCCCACAATAAACCATGTCAGGTTATTTAACTCAATTGAATTTGATTACATAATGACAATGATTTTTTTTTAATTAGTGTACTTAAATAGGTATGAATTCTTGATAATTCTCATATTGGTTAAGTGTGCAATTTCTTAGAAAACCCAACCTAAGCAGTTAGCATCATGGCCGAGTGGTTGGGAGCTTTTCTCTCTCCATCGCAAGTCCAGGTTCAAGTGCATTAATTGACACCAACCTTCCTAATCTTTGGTGTTGGGTGCTTCCCCTTCTTTGAGGTGTTCTCTGTCTAATCATGTCCCCCGTTTGTATTTTATCTATTCATTCATTCTCTAAATTAGATTCTTTGACAATTTGAAGACAAACTTTCTCCAAAATCCTCGACATTTATTCTTTTTCTTTTCCTCAATAACAATTAATTGATACAATGCAAGTTTTCCTTAGTCCAAAGTCATGAGTTTGTATTTACAGTATTATGCAATTGCCCTTGTTTGTATTTAAGCTACTTATTAGTATGTTTAAGTTTGCCATTTAGGATTTGTTTAATATTTAAATATTTTTTATTGATAGTTTTGTAATTTTTTAACAACCATAATTTCTATAAATAAGGTCCAAATTCTATAATTCATTCTGTTAAAGTTGATAATGAAATACCAATGGCTTTTGCTTTGGCATTCTTCCTTCTGGTTGCCCCATTGATGCAAAGGGAATTTGAAGATTTACATAGATTGCAAAAATTCATTAATTTTCTTTCTTTAAATCTAAACAATCAATACAAAAAATATAACCCAATTGATAATGAAATGATCAGATAAGCTTGAAAATTTTAACAGAAATCTTAAACCACATAAAATCAAATGATCAATTGTAATTTTATTCTCATAAATAAAATTTAATTGTGCCAAATTTGAACAAAAACAAGAATACTAGTAAAGTTGAAATTAGAATAAGAAATGAAAGTACCAAAATAAGAAAAATAAGGTCTTACGCGGGTACGAGGAGTTGATTTCCCTTGAAAATAGATAGTTATACTATATCATTCTCGAAGGAATTATTCATTTAATAGAAAGGTTAAAAATTAGAAAGAAAATTTATTTAATCAAAAATTGTTTTTTTATGTGTCTCAAAACATCTTTTTATTGACTCTCAAGTATTGTTAGATGTAAGACTATTTTTATCTAAATTTAAATAAAAGCTTCAATAAAGTAAAGCTCCAATTTTTGTGTTATTATACGTGCTTCATAACTACACTGTTGGTCCTAATTTGGATGCTCGACCTATGCCATCTTTCAACATTTATTTCATGGAAGAACAGAGTTTATGATTTCTATAGGCATTATTTAACAGAATTATCTTAGCCATTAACTCAGTCATGGCAGTTTTTTTTTTGCTGAATTTGCGTGTGCTACATGGAGCAGTATAGTCATCATCCTTCCTGAATTTTTTTTTCTTTAAAATGGTAGGGAGAGGCACTTTTTCAAACTCATGAAAACTTGGAACATCTTGCAATGATGGAGAGGGTGTTAGGCCCGCTGCCCATTCATATGATTAGGAAAGCAGAGTGAGTTGAAGATTGAGGCTTCGTATGGAACGGCTTTCGTACTGCTTCTTAAAGCGGTTTTTGAGTACAAAAAATTTAATTTTTTATTAGAAACAGTTTTAAGAGGCAGTTAAAAAGCAGTCCCAAAAATGGAGCCTGAGTTTCAGTTTTTTATCTTCTTTTATTTGATTGCTATATATAAAGAGTTGAATGCATTTTTTTTTTTAACTCTGTTTCTGTATAGTAGACACGCCGAAAAATATTTTAAGCGAGGCTTACGACTGGATTGGCCTGAAGGGGCAACATCTAGGGAAAGCATGAGGGCAGTTGGAAAATTACCACGTCTTCAGGTAGCTTGTTCTATCCATATACTTTCCTTGTTTATATGATAAACAGGTAAATTTAAGCCCTAACAATCTGCATTGCAGAACCTTATAATGCAACATGTTGATCATTCTGCTGGTGATCTAATTGATCTTCTGCAAGGGCTTCTCCGTTTTGATCCTGCTGAGCGTCTGAAAGCTCAGGAAGCTCTCTGCCACCCTTTCTTCACCAGAGATTTTAGAAGGTCTGGTTATCCTCTGTAATAGAGAACCTTCACTCACCTTTCTTTAACTGTTTATGGGAACTATTGATAGAAAATGAAAATGTGCCATATTAGCTAATAGTTGGACCTCCATTTTGAGGGTGTGCAATACCAATTTATAGCTGGGTTTTGTGGCTACTGCAACATGGAATGTGCAAGGTTTAGTGTTGATAAGAAGCCGCATGTATTTTTCAAAATTTGCAAAATCTGGAGCTCTGACTAAGAAAATCTGATTTCTCTTTTATGGTTTGGTATTTGGGTGGAGAACAGGTATTTGTGCTTGTTTAGCTAAGTCAGCTCTTCTCAGAAATCGAGTAAAGACAGATGAGTCAGGCAGTTGGTTTTCTTCAGAAACTTGAAGCCATGGTGCTGGTTCCAAGGGCCTATCTGGACCTAAAACTAGTAAAGGTATGCCTTCGAATCATTTATTTTCCTTAGCCAGAGGGTTGGGTAAGCATGATTTTGTCAAACACCATAAGAAAGATTGCATCTAAATCGTAAATCACGTTGTAAATTTCAATGGCTTGGGGAGATTTCATTGTAGATGGTGCTCAAAGAGTTGCAGCAGGGCAAGCTTTTTAGGATATTAAGGAAAACATTAGATGAGGATATCAAATTTAGACTAAAATTTAAAATTATTAGATTTAATTTGAGATGAGAATGTTATAAATTTTGATCTATTATTTATATATTATACTCATCTTAAAGTAAATTTAATAGGTTTAATACTCATCTTCACTAAATCTTGAGCAAGGTATTGTAACTTTATTTTTTTCCTGATATTAATCTTTTCATTTTCACTAGATTGCTGATTAGCTTATATCTGTAGTGTTCAGGGTTCATTTGGGACGGCTTTCTTATTGCTTCTTGAAGTGTTAATTTTTGTACTAAAAAGTTGTTTTAAGAAGCAATAAAAAAACCGTCCGAAATGAAGCCCTGAAGCCCCAGTGTTATTGAGATATTATGACTTAAGTGACGCATTCTTTTTTATTTTGTGGAATGCCACTTTTTGATAAGCTGCCGAATGCATGGAAAAAGTTTTTTTTTTTTTTTTTCATATTTTATCATTCATATGAAGAGGGGACAAATCATTTTCTTAGAAGGCATACTATAAATTTTGAGACATCAATAATAAATGTTTGATAAAAAAAAGTTTAGTATAATTATTTTAAATATTTTTTAATAAAGAGTGGAGTTGTGGGGGCAAGTGCCCTCATTTATCATCATTGGTCGCTAAAACATACTTTTAGCGACCATTTTACTTTGGTCTCTAAACTTTTTGTCGCTAATGATCTGTTTTCTTGTAGTGTCATTTGTGCGAGAAATTATTCTGTGCGGATGCCGAATGCAGTTCATTGTTCGGGGACCAACAAGAATGCGTCATGTTAGCAGTACCGAGCCGTAATGACCTGACGCATTTTGATTAATCTCTGGACCGCGTTCGGCGTCCGCACAGAATAATTTTCACATTTGTGCTCCTCAACTCTCGTTTTAAGGCCTAAGTTAATTTCCAGCAATATCGTGTCATAGTGGGTAATTTGTCTTTGGGTCCTCGTTTCATGCTGTCAGCCTGCAACAATGAATTCTTCAAATTATGTATTCTGAATGGCTACGGGATGGGATCAGCATGGGGCTTATGCTCTCCTCTCCCATTTCTATTCAAAAATTCTCTGCCGCTCCTACCCTCGTAGGAGTTCAGGAGATCAGTTCTTGATTAGTGTATTCTTTGTTTATATTTGAAATTTAGGTTTCGTTTGGGACAGTTATTTTTTTATTATTTTTTAAAGTAGTTTTCGAATAAAAATTTTTAATTTTGTATTAAAAAAATATTTTTAAAAAATCATAAAAAAACCGTCCCATCCGAAGCCTTAGTTTAAGTGAACTAGGTTCAATTCAGTTTTATGGAGCTCTATGAATGAAGAATACAGATACAGTTATGCGTAGTTGTATGTATATTTATATCTATATTTATATTTGAGTAACTGTATTTTTTTGCAGTGATAGTAGTATTCTATTGTGTTTCATTTACTTGTTTGGAGCTGGTTTAGTTTACTCGGATTTCTAGTTTAGCAGATTAATTGAACTACGAACTGGATTGCAATGTTGTTATTAGGTAAATTGTCAATTTGATTTAGTATTTAGTATTTTTTGTTTGTTAATATCTGGGATTTAAATAGTGAAAAGGCTAATAGTAAAATAAAAAAAATATGATAAATTTCTTATATTTTTTCGTTTTATTTTTAAGAATATCAAATAAATAGAAGGTTGTTTTTATATTTAAAATTAGTACTTTCTTGTTACTCATCGCGCTCGTTCTCAACTGCTGACCCAGCATTATTGATGCTGCAATATGAGCACAACTTGGTATGCTAAACAGTAAACAGAGATTGGGTGCTGGTGCTGCTGGTAGCACTGAGGAGAAATTAGTCTGTGGTCACCGGATTTTTTTTAGGCGAATCATGATTTGTCACGTCATCTGGTATATAGCAGTACACAACAAAAAAATGATGTGGTATGTCCTGATTTGCCTACGGACAACCCCGGTGACTGCATAGAATAATTTCATGTATTGGAGAGCATTGTTTTTACCTCTATTGAGGTATGGTATACCGCCTTGTTTTTTTTTTTTTTGCATTTTATTCAATTAAGATAAATTTATGCACATCATATATTTAAGTTTCAAATTGAAGATTTTTTGGTTGGAAGTTAAAAGATCAAGGTGAGTTGTATCTTGAAGTTAATTTCTCTCTTGATACAGGAACGTGATGGTGAGATTACCAGTAGTCATTTTGCTGTGAGTAGAAATGTAGTTAGAATGTCGACCGTTGGAAGTTTTTTTTTTTTATTTTAATGTTTTTGTTTTTCAAAATAATAAACCCGTAGGACTATTATATGCAGTGCCATTTGTTTGAAGAAAAATAAGTGATAACAAATGGCCTAATATTTATAAAAGATTGAATTCAGATTGATCGAGGTAAGTGTGTAAAATAAGAAATATTTTGTAGCTGCGTTTGATCAATAGGCGAGTCGCCTATTGTAAAGTCATCAGCCCTGAATGGGTGATTTTATAAAAGGTACAACTCGGTACCTTTGTTCTTCTTGCAGAAATACCTAACGCTTCTTCCATGGAAATGTACTGCAACAGCAACGGCTTTGATGTATAGGGAAAGGGCTTCAGGGCTCAAGCAATTGATCAGGATTCGAGAACTGGCGCTGAAAAAGAAGCCGGATTGGTTGTGGTGGATTTGAAGTAGGAGATCAATAGGGCACAAGTGCTTGTGCTGAGTATCAACTGCAGCAAAATGGTTATTGTTAGATTTAAGCCTGCAACATCGTTTTACTGTACAACCCTTTAATTTTTTTTTTCTTCGACCATTTGCCTAAATATTTTACAAGAGCAATGTTTAATATACGGAAGCCTTCCAATAGGCAAAATAAGAAGATTAGACAAATCGATTATAAAAGCTTCAAAATACATGAAAAGAAACAAAGTGGCATAAAAAAAAAAAAATTCAAAGAGGGCAGCAATGTCTGATAACTCATCACCAATTCAGAAAAAATCATGCGAAGATGATGCAGATTTGCATGTAAATTCTTCGGTTGCAGACAAAAGAGGTATCAGGGAGCAGTTGTGTTACAATTATTGTCTAAGATCATTAATAGAAGGAAGTAAGCCTTCAAGTAGGGGTGTCAATTTTCGGTTTCGGGTCGGGTTCGGATCGAACCCAAAACTGACCTGGTACTATTCGGGTTCGAGTTAACCCGACCCATTTTTACAAACCGGTCAATTTTCTGGACCCGAACTCGACCCACTTCGGGTTCGGGCAACCCGACCCGACCTGCTTCAGTGCAAGCAATTCGACGCGCAGACGCAGGGCAGGCTGCGCTGGCGGGCCGGCGGCGACTTGACTCGAGGCCTCGGGCAGGCCGCAGGTGACGCGATTCGACGCGCGGTTCGATCTCTCGAGTCTCGAATGGTCTGAGTTCTGACGTGATTCGACGCGTTGTCACGTGGCTTGTGGGCAGCCGGGGCAGCAAGGAAGGGCAGGCTGGGCAGCGGGGACGGCGGGACGCCGGGGTAAATATATTTTTCGGGTCAATCCTGGGTTTTCGGGTCAATAACTCAAAATTTTCGGGTTGGGTTTTTGGATCGGGTCCAATATTGACAGCCCTACCTTCAAGAGCTCCCTTAAGTCAACTAGAGAAGTACATGTTGAAATGTATGATTTCACGTGAAAAGAGATGAAAGAAGCCCTTATAATCTAGCCTATTATATAGAAAGTCTCTATTAACATAATCAAAAGCCTTCTTGATATGCAAAGTAGAGCAAAATAATTATCGGTTTTTATTTCTTATAATTTTAGATTGACTCTCATTTGTGAGAAGGACACTTTTAGATACGCTTCTGTTATTGTTGAATGTGACTTGAGATTGATTAGTAATGTCATATATGAATTTGTAGAAATTATTACGAGAGGATATGGGCATGAAATTAGTTATGTTATAAGCATAAGAGCTCTTCGGAGTTAAAGTAAAGGTTATAATATTCATAGGGACTTTTTATTTGTAAGAATAAAGGAAGGGATTAAACAACACAAATAAATACTCAAATACAATCATATCCATACCTTCCATTCAATTCAGACATATTACCAGCCTTATATATAACACCAAACTAACCATCATTTCTATGCTTATCATGCCCCCTAATAACATAAAAGTTTAGTTTGATCCAATAAATAAAACATTAACCCAACATATATTGTCCTAAATAGAGCATGAATTCATAATATACAAAGCTCAACATGACCAATAATTTGCTATGCCAAAAATACATGAAAATAACACAATATATGTTATCTAATAATCATTCATAGATGCTTATAGGTACAAGTATTTAATTCTAGGTACGTAATTTTAAAACTTAAAATACTAAATTAATTCAAAAATTCATTGGTAAAAAGTTACAAACGAAAATAAGAAAATTTATTTATATATCGCCATCTTCTCATTTGACCTTATTTATTGAAGCCTACAATGGATGACTTGATGAAGCAATTCATATTTATTAACAAACAAAATAGTATGCGACAATGCACAACTTGGAAGGCCGTTCGAGTAAAAACAAATTCTGGCCGAAAAATTTTATAGATTTTATGTTTTAGCTTGGAGAAAGGCAGTGCATTGAAAATTTCCTCAGTTTGATTTTGTATAATTTCTTTAGAATATGCTTTCTATCATCTATTGAACAGTTCAAAGGCATTGGGTTTGTTGGGGAAATTATTCTGTATGGAGTTAGAACGTAGGGAATCTTCTGAATTACTGTGTATTTGTAGATATGCAGTAAATAAGTACCAAATAACTAGTAAATCAACAATACTTGCTAAATACTAAGCCAAAACTCACCAAAAACACAGAAAATACTCATTAAATACTCATCAAATATTCACAACTAATGATTTGCTTAGTATTTGCTAAGTATCTACAAATACGCAGTACATACACAGTGCGTACTTAGTAATCTAGAAGATCCTCTACGTTCGGACACCACACAATAATTTTCCGATTTGTTGGGCGTGGAGAAGGATCCACCTAAGCTAAGAAGAATTTGTTTTTTTTTTGGGGACATGTATATCAACTAATGCAAACTCATATACACATCACATACTAAAGACCCGAACGTAAAACATCTTAGATGATAGCCAAAGCTCTCAATCAACATATCAAGATGAAATAAGAATTTGTATATTTTGCAAGTTGGATGCTTTGAAAAGGCTGGGCGTGGACAAAGATTTAAATGGAAAATTGAAAAGTAGTAATTTTCTTTATGCCTCGTTTGTTTGCATTATGTTATACGACACCAGAGAATTCGTTCAGAAACTTGAAGTAGTATTGAAATTGAACATTTTTTATATTTTTTAAATAATTTTAAATATTTTAGGATTCCATTTAATTCCGTATTCCTTTTATAAATCTTTTCATAGCAAATAAATACTATATTACATGCATTATTTGCCTTTTTTTTTAGTTTGTTAACAAATAAATACTGTATTCTCTATAATATTAATGTGCAAAAGAAATTTAGGGAGCTAAAAAGAAAAATATTCACAAGTCAAATGGAGCCAAATGGCTTTTTCATGTAAGAAGTCGAAAGCTTTAGCACAACAAAGTACTTTTGAAGATACCCATTAGATATTAGAATATGACTTGTTCAAGAATGAAAAGGAGATTTTGAAAGAGAACGCCATGTTCATTAACGCCATGGAAATATTATTAATTTCATGCTATTAGGTAAGAGTGATTTTCTTATGAATAATAAACAAAATAATTACTAGCTCAAGTTATAATTTTGAACAATTAGATTTTCGTTTATTTGGATGTGTATATGTCAATAATAAAGATAAATGGATGGCTCAAAGTTAACATACCAAGACTTTAAATGAGATATTAATAGAAGTAGAGTTCCTTCTGGTTCATAAATAGAAGAGAAGATTGGAGATTGTGAGTCCTCAATTTAGAATATTCTATTGATTGAGGGTGAAGGTCGTCCATAAGAACATATTAGAAAAATGAAATAAAGGTGGTAGGAGAAAGAAGCATTTAAAAATTTGGTTTAAGATTTTTCACTTACATCTATGAATGGGAGAGCAAGAAAAGCTTCATTATATTTGAAGGAAATGAAGAAGCAAAGTGCAAGCCCTTAAAGATCTCAATTATATGGGGTATCCCTTGATTACTAAAGAGTTTGTCTCAAAAAAAGCCAAAAAGGCCCCTCCCAAAAGTAATACATGGATATTTATTAGCTACCTTGTGGTTGAGGCGGCACTAATGTTGAGCATTATGATTGTTGTGTCCATGTGATATAAACATGGAAGATTGTTAAACCTTGACATATGAGATGTAAATAATTGTTATCCTCTCGCGGTTTAGGTACTATTGAGATTTTGGAACACAAATCTGGCTCGAAGATAATCACATACCATTTAGTAATTTATTGATTGTCAAATGGTGACTCCTTACTTAAACCA